TCTCTTGCTGAGAGATATGAATGATTTATAATTCTTCATGGAAAAAGATGAAAAAGAAAAACAGCAGTTTTCATTATCTACGTTACAAAAGATTTCTATTTCAAATAAATGCTGTTCTTCTGAACTTTCTGTTCATCAAAATAATCCAGTAAAAATATGTCTAATTTTTTCAGAAAAATAGCAGCACAACTATTGTGAGATAATCAGAAATGTTTCTTGAGCAGTAAATCAGCATATTAGAATGATTTCTGAAGGATCGTGTGACACTGAAGACTGGAGTAATGATCAATTCAGCTTTGATCACAGGAATAAATTATTTTAACATATATTCAAATAGAAAACATTTATTTGAAATTGTAATAATATTTCAGTGTTACTGTTTTTACTGCACAGTGTATAGGTCAAATAAATGCAGCTTTGGTGAGAATAAGAGACTTCTTTCAAAAAACATGAAAAAACCTTTCCAACCCCAAATATTTGAATGATAGTGTGCTTTTAAGCAGTAGACTTTCTTTGTTGGCTTACAAGTAAATGCAATGGAGTAATAGTGTCATCTCCTTCAGAACGTAGTGATTTGCTCAAACTCTTTGCTAACAGATTTCTTTTATCAGTGCTTTAACCTTCTATGTGCTCAAAGCATGAATGTTGCAACTTTGTTTGAACGTAGCATCAATACCAAGTTTGTGAAAACAGCTAATGAGGATTGTGCGTATATCTTGTCAGGTGGGCTTGCGAGTCGTGTGAAGCGTAAGGATACTCTGGCTCTAAAGCTGGAGCGTCAGCAGGAGAAAGAGCAGTCTCAGGACCAGGAGAGCATCACCTGGAACAACAAAGAGCAGTGGGATGCTGTCCGCAGCAAGATCGGCACCACCCTCACAAGGTCTGTGTGTGTGTGTTCACTGTGCGTTTATGGGCTCTTTGTACTGTCCACACTCACACTGTGTGTGTTTTGCATGTTCTCATAGGAGGCTGAGTCAGAGACCCACCGCACAAGAGCTTGAGCAGAGAAACATCCTACAAGGTCAGTCTTACATCCATTGTCTTCTAGTCCTCCGTAGCATTTGTTGTAGTCAGTCATAGCTGATGTAGTTCCCAATTTTGTGATGCTTCCAGAAAAGATTTTCTTAACTTCTTTTGTTTCAGCCAAGGATGAAGCGGACCGACGGGCAGAAAGGAGTGAAATCAAGCGCAGACTGACCAGAAAGGTTTGGAGGCACACATCCAGCATCTGACTGTTTGTTTCTCATGAAAACCTCTAACGCGCTTAAATGTTTGGAATTACTTTTGTAGACAAATACACTTCTGGTCACATGTTTGGAGTCAAGTTTTGTTTTTAAAAGAAATCTCCAGTGCTCACCAAGTCTGAATGCAAAATCAAAAATACAGTAAAATAAGTGCTATAGTGAAATACTATTACAATTTAAAATAACTTTTTAGATTTTAATATATTTTAAAATGTAATTTACTCCCTTGATGGCAAAGCTGCATTTCTCAAAACTGCTTATCTGGTGCCCAAGAAACATTTCAACATTGATAATATATGAAAATAGTAGTGCCGCTTTATATTTTTGTGGAAATGGTAATGCATTTTTTTTAGGATTCTTTGATGAATAGAAATTTCAAAAGAGCAGCGTTGATTTATCTTTTGTAACATTATAAATGTTTGTACTGTCATTTTTTTTTAATAATTTTAATGTGTCCTTGCTAAAAAAAAAAAAAGTTTCTTTAAAAAAATAATATTAATAATATTGTAAAATTAATAGTATTATAAACGTTATTAATAATATTAATAAATATAATTATTTATTAAAAATAAATTAAAAAGAATGATAGTGTATGAATTGTCCCTGTGTAAAGTTTTGTTAATTTCAGTTATTTCTCTTATGTCTTACTTTTCCAGAATAAAAAAATAAATAAATAGAGATTCAATTAGAGATTACGGATTAAAAATGTAATATCATAAAATATAAATGCTTGTTGACTACTTACCTATTTGACTTCTTAACTGTCACTGAATAGTGGACAAATAAATGTGAACAAAAACCTACAAACATTTAAATTACATGATTTTTCTTTCTAATTGTGGCAACAATATTTTGACTGTGGTGCGAGTAGGTACTAATCTAGCAGAGCGCGAAAGCAAATGTTGCTGTTGTGTTTCTGTGTGCAGTTGTCCCAGAGGCCTACGGTGGCTGAGCTGCAGGCCAGAAAGATCCTGCGCTTTCATGAGTATGTGGAGAGCACTCACGCTCAAGACTACGACCGGCGCGCCGACAAACCCTGGACCAAACTCACACCTGCTGACAAGGTCCGACCCTATCACTGCTCTCCGCTGCCCCCTGCTGCTGACCGATATAGCAGCATTTAAATGGCGTCTTATGTCAATTGTATAGTTACATAAAAAAAAATAAACTTTGCACGTAATTGAAAACAGGCAAACCTCCTTGACAAACAAATCTTATTTGAAAAGGCACATAGACACTGAGAGACACTGTTTCTCAACCGTCTTGACTGTAAAGCATCAGAATTTTATGTTGATTTTGACCAAATGCCATCATCATTAAGGTGTACTGTAAGTGTTTTATACGACCAGTGTTTATGTTGTTCTTTCTTTGTCCTCTTCCAGGCGGCCATAAGAAAAGAGCTGAATGAGTTTAAGAGCTCAGAAATGGAAGTTCATGAGGACAGCAGGGTATACACCAGGTGAGACACTTTTAACACTTTCTTAACTGGAATAAGTTAATACACACGCAAGAATAGTCTGATTTTAAAGGGAATTTGGTCAGATACTTAAGAAACACCTTAACCCAGCTACCAAAACCTGATTAACAGTCAATATACATATATCTGTATCTGCAGAGACATTCAAAAGTTTGGGGTCAGCAAGATTTTTTTGTTCTCATGCTCAACAAGCCTGCAAAAATACAGTAAAAACAGTGATATTGTGAAATATTGTTACAAATAACTGTTTTCTATGTGAATATATTGTAAAATGTAATTTATTCCTGTGATCAGCATCATTGCTACAGTCTTCAGTGTCACATGATCCTTCAGAAATCATTCTAATATGCTGATTTGCTGCTCAAGAAATATTTCAAATGAATAGAAAGTTTAAAAGAACAACATTTATGTAAATGCAACTCTTGTGTAACATTAAAATGTCTTTAGGCAAGGCAAGTTTATTTATATAGCACATTTCATACACAATGGTAATTCAAAGTGCTTTACATAAAAGGAAGTAAAATAATAATATTCACAACAATAAAAAGAAGGAATTTTAAAACTTTTCAAATGATTTTAAAATTGATTTAAAATGAATTAAAACAGTTAAGAACAGAAAATGATTATACATAACATACAGTGCAGTCAGTTTGGACGTAGCACAGTGCTCATTCAGTAATGCACACCTAAACAAATGAGTTTTGAGTCTGGATTTAAAGGGGTGGTTCACTGTTTTTTTCTAGGCTTGATTGTGTTTATGGGGTGCAGTCTAGCATGTGTTAATGCTTCGTTTATTTAAAAACTCATTATTTTTCAC